GGGGGGGGGGCACGGCCTATCATTCGGCACTAGCCGCTCGACTGAGGCTGCCGAGCTTGCTCCGATCGGAACCCACGCTTGAGGTGGAAGGGCGGTCGGTTGCACGCATTGAAGCTGCAGCGTTCGTTGCCGAGCGAGGATGGAAGCAGTGACCCGCAAGGTCACGGTGGGTCAAGACATCTTGCTGCGGGAGCCGCGGGGCAGTGGGAGAGGCAGAGGCAGAGCGAGTGGGATGCGAAATCTGGGGGAGCAGCGCCGACAGGCAAAATGAATTTTGTGACAGGTGCACGGGCGAGACCCAAGCCCGACGGACGATGTGCTCTGAAGGGAGTCCGAAGTCGCTTGCTGCCGAGATCGCTATGCAGCGGTGTTAGGCAGAGAGGGGCAAAGCGGGGCAAGGTCGCGTTGGTTGATTGGGCGGAAGGCGCAGGGTGAGGCTGCGAATTGGAGGTGCAGCTGGAAACGAGCTTTAAGCGAGCTGCACATCCTCCAACAACTGATGAAGGCACAAGCGAGGCCGCCGCCAGCCATGGCGAAATGTCGAGCCGTCATTCCGCTGCTTGAGGGTCGTGCGTGCAGGACCCTCCCACCGCTACCAGAACACGGCAGCTCGCGAGACAGGAGTGCGTGGTTTGTGATCACGGGCGATACGGCAACATCTCGGTCGATCAAGCTGGACCAGCTGCCATTGTTGCGAATAGGTTTGGCCAAGGAGCGCTGTCGGCTTGACCGATAGTAGCAGATTGGGGCGGCTAAGCGAGACGCTTGCTCGCATTGCGGCCGCCACTGATTCGTGGTGGCCAAGCGAGCTGGGGAAATTCCCGCCGTCGGTGCCAATCCGCAGGGTTGGTGGTGATTTGCGTCTATTTGTTCATGTTCACTGGGGCTGCTGCTTGTTTTACCCACAGACTGCTCGCTGATCACACTGGCGCCCGTCAATTGCTGCGAGTCGGCCAAACCGAGGCTCTGCAGGATCGAAGGAAGCGACCCGAACTGATCGATACGGAAACCCGCCGATCCTGGCACTGTTCGCTCGGCATGGCAGCCGAAGATTGCTCGTTGTAGTGGCGCGAGCGCCTGATGTGATCCATTGCAGGCAATTTTTTGTGACAAAGTAAGAGAGAGAGACCGGCGTCAATCCGGAGCAGGGCAGGCTGAGCTGCAAGAAGCAAGAAGCAAGAAGCAAGAGGGTCAGAGGTGCCGACAGCCTACCATCACCTGATTGTACGTCGCCATTCTGCATGACTGGCGTGCAGGCATGAGGAGAGCCCTCAGCCTTCTTTCTCTGACATCCAGCACCGTGGCTGCGGAGATTGCACGTCTGACACCGCGCAAGACCTCGACAGCTTGTTTGATGAGCCAAATTTTTTGGGCAGCCCAGATTTCAGGGTTTGCATTCGGCTCCTTTTGCTTTCCTTCTACGGTGCTTCTTCGGCTCAGGCCTCGCATGTCGAATGCGGTTTTGTCGTGAACCTGCACGCTGACCGCGTCCAGGATGACACCTGTCTTGTACATGCGAGTGGGCGCTGGTGCAGCTCTTGCACGCACAGCAGGGAGCTGGGCAGCGTGACATGTTGGCCGGCGCCGGCCATGTGCGCGTGACTAAGACTCGAAGCCTGCGAGGCCTGCGAAGCGTGCATGGGTGGCGTCGAGCACACAAACGCCGCCACCGCCATCAGCCCACGCCACGTCCAGACGAGCCTTTCTGGCCGACATCAAGCAGCTCTAGCGTGGTGTCTAGCTTCGTGTTTCGGTGAGCGGCGCGCAGCGAAAAGCCGACACCGTGAATCGGCGCCGAAATATGCCCGAATCATGCTGGCTCAGGTCGGCACTGCAGCATCTACTGTAGCGTGTGTAGTCGTAGGACTCGGCTCGACATCGCGTAGAGCTCTTCTGCAACACCAAATCTCACCTAGCCGAGCATCTTTTCTCTCGCTCGGCCCCTGGCACTCTCCGACTTTTTGTCGTTGTTGTTGTTGCCGCCACTGCCCTGCGCCTCGACTTGTGGCTTTCGAATCCCGGCCGTTGCCACACGATGCGATCCCCCCTCCGTTTCCATCCGATCCGTTCTTCTCCATCTTCAGGGGCCCATCCTTCTCCGAGCCGAAGTCAATGGTGTGGGAAACATCTGCACACCAGGCGCCAACCGTGCTTCCATGAGCCTCGCACGATTCGTTCGCGTGTTTGACGTCAAAGACGCCGAGGTGTCCAGGCGCATGTCTGCGCCGCGAGTTCGTCGCTCCGACGGTCATGCCCGCTGTAAGGCATCTTCACGGCAGACCAGAGCATTTCTGGTCGGCAGCTCGGCGCCGACGCCGTGTTAAGCGCCGAGGCGGCTGCGTCGCAGTGCATCAATTCAGGGCCTATGAGTTCAACAATGGCTGGTGAGCCGAGAACAGAAAGTATAGTGTAAACTGCAAGTGCGCTTGGACCACAGACTGACATGCACAGCTCTAAATAAACGTCTTTCATGCTACCGAAAGAGCACAAGGCGAGGCGCCGGAGCCTGCAGGTAGGCCGCAAGCGCGAAAAGTTTCAAATGCGGGTCAAGCAGACACATGCGTGTGTTCCAACCGCCATCGATCAGTCGAGCGGATCTTCGTCCACGGCCATCGGCCCGGATCTCGATCCGTTGACCGGCGTCGCCGCCGAATCGATCACGAAGAAGTCCGAGTTCCGCAGTGGCCTCGACTCGATCTTGGAAGTGGGCGCAGCCGCTGCCACCACCTCTCCCTCCGACGGCGTCAGAGAGCCCACTGGTGTGTTGTCCACACCGCTGCCCACGCCAGCTGCCGCCAGACGTCGTCGCTCCGCCACCGACTCGCGGCCTGCTTTGCTGCGCAAGAATTCGCGGACGGGCCTCATGGCCGCATTTCGGCAAAGCTCCTTGAGGTCGCTGCCGCTGTAGCCTTCCGTGCGCTTGACGAGCTCGGTCATGCTGAACTTGGGATCCAGCGATGTTGCTGACAGCATGATGGAGAGAATCTTTTCGCGCTGCGCCGCACTGGGCAGCGACACTGCATATCGCTTGGGCAGTCTGCGCAGGATGGCCGAGTCGATGTCGTTAGGTCGATTCGTGGCTCCGAGCACCATGATTCGATCCGTCGATGATGTCAATCCATCCCACAGCGTCATGAATTCGGCCTTCATCATGCCCGTGACCTCGTGGTCGCCAGTTGCGCGCTCGCGGAGGAAGCTGTCGATCTCGTCGATGAAGATGATGGATGGCTGCAGCTTGCGCGCCAGGCTGAATAGTGCAGCCACGAGCTTGTTCGACTCGCCGAACCACTTGTTGGTCAAGGTGGACACGTGCATGTTGATAAAGGTAGCTCCGCTCTCCTTGGCCAGCGCCTTGGCCAGCATCGTCTTGCCCGTCCCTGGCGGTCCATAGAGCAACACGCCTTTGGGCGCTCCCAGCAACCCGCTCGCATTGGCGAATAGTTCAGGGTAGCACAATGGCGCAATGACGCTCTCCTGCAGCGACGAGATGATGCCATCCAGTCCACCGATCGAAGCGAAATCGACAGGAATGTCTTCTGGTAGAATGAGCTCGGCAGAGATCTGCTCTTCGTATTCGTTCAGCTCCAGGTCCTTGCCACGCAGGCCGAGCTTGCCCAGCTTGGCATCGGCGACCTTTTTCGTATCTTGTCGCTTCTGGCGATTTGGGTCGAGCGACGACATGACATATTTGAAGGCATAGTAGAAAGCGACCTGGCTCATGGCAAAGAGTGCCACATCCGTCATCATCTTGCGCGTCACCTCCTTCATCTTGCCGAACTTGCTTGCGAAGCGAGAGGTAGCAGCGGGGTCGGGTGAACTAGCCGGATGCGTTGGGAGCCTGCCTAGTCGAATGAAACGGATGCGAGGGTCTGCTGGCTCGACTTGAAGAGTATGTTTTGCTACGACGATGGCAGAGGGATAGGTGGAGGGATGGAGGAAGACGTGGCGAGCGAGCGAAGTCATCCAGGTTTGCCGAACGTAGCCGGATTCATTTCTGATTGCGCGAAAGCGCAGATTCACGTTCAGATCAACACTTACCGAAAGGGCCTGCTGCGCTCAGCTGAGTTGGGTGAGCTGGAAGGCTCGGAAGTCGGCGGCGGACTCAAATTTGTTAGGGTCCCTCTACACGAACAATTCAGAACTCGAAAAATTCTCCAAGTGGAGCAAAATGGCGCACGGAGGTCGATCACCTTGAAGGCGCTGTGGAGCAACCGTGAATACGCACGCCCGGACGCGCAAGGACCCTCTCCTCGAGATTCAAGGCCGGCGCAGTGTTGCATGCAAGCTACCACGCTCCACCTTCTCATCCTCCACCTGTCTCACTGCTTCTCCACCCGCCTTCGACGTCTTTGTTCCCCAAGTCGACTCAGCTCACCTTGTTCTCCGGCTCGACGCAGATCCTCACCGTCCTTAGGATCACCTCGCGCTGCGCTACGGGAACGCGCGACAGCATCAATCGCATCGCTTTGCAAGCAACCCCTTTGCTCTCACAGCTCCCGTGACGATCCGGTCACGGCATAGACATCGGCCAAGATGAGTATTATGGAGTATAACGGCGGCAGTGTCGTCGCCGCCAAAGGCAAGAACTGCGTCGTGATCGCCTCGGACCTGCGACTCGGTCAGCAGGCCATGACGGTCGCCTGCAACTTCGACAAGGTCTTCCGCGTGACCGAGAAGACCTACATCGGCCTTCCAGGCCTCGCATCCGATGTGTCGACGCTGCGCGAACGCTTCCGCTACCGCGTCAACATGTACAAGATGAAGGAGGAGCGCGAAATCGAGCCCGAGATCTTTGCCAACCTCGTCAGCTCGACACTCTACGAGAGAAGGTAAGCATGCGATTACGAGCTGCCATCACACGCTCTGTGATGCTCTTGCTGACAATATGCTCTCCTTCCGTTCAACGTCGACTCTGACAATTGTCCGCGTCTCGCCAGGTTTGGACCTTACTTCATCGAGCCCGTCATTGCTGGTCTCAACTCGAAAGACGAGCCATTCATCGCCGCAACTGATGTGATCGGGTGCCTCAACTTTGCAAAGGACTTTGTGGTCAGCGGCACAGCATCGGACAAGCTTTTCGGTATGGCAGAAGGCCTCTGGGAACCGGATCTGGTGAGTGCTGCAGTCGCCTCTTTTGCGGCGATTCATTGCTTCTGTGGACGCATTCTGACATGTTCTTGTTGCTACTTTGCTTGTACTTGGACTGTGCAGGGGCCCGAGGAGCTCTTCGAGACCGTATCGCAGATCCTGCTCGGAGCGCTCGAGCGCGACGCATTATCAGGTTGGGGCGCCGTCGTCCGCATCATGTGAGTAGCTGACCCTCGCCGACTTGCCACTTTTCCGCCACTTGTGCCCGGCAGCAGATCCAGGCTTCACAAGATCAACTGCTGACGCTTTCAAATCTTGTCTCGACCTTGGCGTCTGGGCCATCACAGTACTCCCGACAAGGTCATCGAGAGGACGCTCAAGGCGAGGATGGACTAGTCGCACCATCGCGATTCAACCTCGAGAATTGCATCCCTTCTCCTGGTCGTGACTCTGCAGCACCGGCCCATCTTTTGTACTTGTCCCTTTTTTGCAACCATTGTCGAGACAACTGTTCGTGGCGGTTTGGCCAATTTGCGTGTGCGATAAGACGACGTGAACGAGGCGATTATGAGCGAGAGAGGCCAACAGCAGATGCTGCAATCTTTCGCCCGTGAAGTTGGTACGCGGCAGTCACAAGAGCGGCATCAACATCCGGCATCGACAGAACACGGAAACGGATAGCATTGAGCAGCAAAAGATACGCAGAAAGTGAATCATCACCGTGCTCTACTTGGTGTGGTGAATTCTGAGCTTGCCCGGGATGTAGTTGTAGTTGGCAGCGTAGCTCTTGGGCGGAATGCGGGCGATCTTGGGCTCCTGAACCTGGTAGTCCCAGCCCTGCTTCTCGCAGAAGTGGATCGCGTCTTCCTTGGAGCGGAACTTGAGCGAAGTGCCCTGCATGTAATCGCCTCTGTTGTAGGATGCATGTGGACGTCAAAGGGCAGTATGAGAATGGTCAGCAACAGTCCTTCTGGTGCAGTGAGATGCGATCGGCTTTGCATGTACGTACGAAGACGCCCAGCCCATCAGAGGGTTCTCCCATCGTGCAGAGCCCTGGAGGATATCAAAGTCGACACGCCACACCTTGGTGCCGGCCTTGCCCGACGAGTTGGCGGTCTTGGTGGGACGGAAGATGCGGACCGTGCGCTGAGTGAGCTCCTCTGTTGTTTCGGAACGGCAAAGCAGCGGAGTACGAGGCGCATAACCACAAGTGTCAGTCGACTAGGTCTCTAATGTACGAGCATGTGGGCCAACCATGTGCCTCATTTGAGATCACAGGGTTGCCACTGCGTTTGAAAGGCTACGTACCGGGAGCACTGCTGACGAGGTCTGCAGCCACAGCCTGGTCGTGTCGTGCGACCTGCTCGGCAGCGACGTCTCGGCTCTGGCTGTTGGTGGGCTTGGCAGGTGCGGGCGAGGTCTGCGCAGAGTTGCGAATCACGGCCGAGGTGCTGATCCATCGTGCGCTGGTGGAGGTGGCGGCGGCAACGCGCAGCGCCTGTGTCGACTGTCGTAGAAGCGACATGCTGGATGCTGTATGAATGGCGGTCTTCCGGTCAGTGGAGAGCTGGTGCGGTAGATTGAGGACGGGTATCGACAATGATCTCGAATCGCGATTGCTTGGAGGCAGCACGCTGCAGTCGGTGGTGCTTTGTCGGCCTTCGACGGCGGACGAGCGCGACAAACCGCTTGGATTTCTCAGCCGCCCATCGGCCACGCACTTCGGTTCCGATTCGACGCGGCTTAACATTGCTAAGGTCTCGAAATTCTCCTGCGCCTTCTTCCTCCACCCTCCGCACTGCCGACTTCCGAGGCTGTCTTGGAAATTTCTGGCGAGAAGCTGTCCTCACGACGCTGTTCCGCTTCGACGCTTGACTGCCACTACGATCTCGACGGCAGAGCTACGTGCGTAGATACGGACGGCCGGCTTGCTCATCGAAGATGGCATCGCAGGACGAGCGCGAGCTGCGCAAACAGCAGATCCGACCGCGCTTCCTCGACCTCGCCGAATTCGATGACGATGACATGGCTGCGCACCCCAGCAGCCGCAGAGCAGCGCCCGACTCTTTCAGCAACTGGCCTCCAGCTGCGACAGTAGTGCGAAGAAAACCGCCCACCATCGGCTCCTCGAGCAAATCGGAGTCCAAAGGCACGAAAGTAGAGGCCGACACAGCTCGAAAGGCCACCGTCGAGGATGTGGAGGATGATCAGCGTCAAAGAAGTGCGACATCGCACCAGGGCGAGACGACACAAAAGACACCGACTACAGAGCAGCTGCGATCCCAGCCTGATACCAAGTCAGTGCGTTTTGCGCCTGAACCCACCGCACAGGCGCCCGAAGAAGCGGCTCAAAGGGCTCCACCAAAAGTCACATTGGACCTTACTGGATCCATCATCGGCACCATCCAAGAGCGACCGGTGGGTGAGAGACGGACAAAGGCAAGTGCCTCGACCAAATCAAAACCAGCAGTATCCCGTTTCGTCGTTCGAAAGAGAATGGACGAGGAGCTACAGAAGCACGAGGAGCAGAGAAAGCGTCAATCACACTCGGCCAAGCAGCCCGAAGATCAAGCGCCGGGCACCGGCTTCCCGGTAGTCTCGCACCGCGACCACATCACTCCCATCTTGCCGCCTGCCTCAGGTAGCGCTCGTGCCAACTTCAACGAAGACATTGCGAGTGTCGAAGCGCCTCGACAGGATGACATCGCAACACGATCCGCACTCTCCACGTCCTCTGCTGCGGACAATGCAGCTTCGGCCGACGACGAAGAATGGCTGGACGAGGCAGGAAACCCCATGTCAGCCTTCAGAAAGTCCAGACTGCTCCGACAGGGGCTGCAGCCGCCCTCTGTGCGTTCGAAGCGTGCCCCCGCGGAGCCGGACAGTCGCGACAACACCTTCCGGCCCGATCCGACACGAGACCCTGGTGGAGGCGCAGACATCGATGCCATCACTGCCGTGCTTACCGACGTATCGAGGGAGAACGAGAACAAGCTGCGCAACATGAGCGCCTCCGAGGTCTCCGACGAGCTCCGCAGCCTCGAGAGCATGTTCGGAAAGGACGTGCTCGACGCACTTCGCAACCGCAAGAGCAATTCAGCAGCAAAGCCGGTCGACAAGCTTGCCGCTTCAGGGAGCATGAAGCCATCCCAAGGTGCGTCTCGCACCAGCAGCATTCCGGTGGGAGAGACGGACGCGGAAGGGCCGCTTGCCATCAAGCGACAGTACTTCCCGGCAGAGCCCGAGGGACCCAACCCTTCGATCGAGTGGATGATGCCTCAACCATCCAAGACCAAGCAAGGCCCGTCAGATCTACGATACGACTTCTCTGGCAAGCTCATTTCTTCCGACATCGAGTCTGACAAGACCTACCTCTCCGGCCTCCATCACCACGGTGACGACCAAGACGCTCCAGGATACACATTTGCCGAACTCATCCATCTGACCCAAAGCACTGTCGCGGCGCAGCGCCAGCTGGCAGTCAATGTGCTTGGTCGCATCTCGGAACATCACCCGGCAGTGGGCCAAGCCGCTTCAGCGGAGGCCGCGGTTGTGACAGAGTATCTGAATGCAGACTCACTGCTGCTTCGAGCTAGGATCATCTCGATCTCTCGATTCCTCCTCGGCGATCGACACTTTACGGTGCGAGCCGCTGCGCTCAGATCTCTCATCTCGGCGATCAGATCGTTGCCGTCCGGTATCTCTGTACCGCTAGGCTGCGAGCAGGAGCTGGAATTCAAGAGTCTCTTCGCTCCAGCAGCAAAGCTCGGGCTCAATCAGGAAGATACGCCGGCCGAGGCAAGCGAGGTCGAGGTCAAGATCCAGGGGGACTGGGCCCATGTCATGCTCGAGTCGAAACTCGTCAGTCTCTTCCTCGACAGGACCGACAGCGTCGTCACATCGCGCTGGGAAGCAGAGGTCGCACTCGAGCTGCTGTACCGCATTGCGTCCTGCTCTGCCTCGCACGCAAGCAAAGTTTTTGGATCCGATCCAAAGAGGATGTGCGATTGGATCACGCATCTTGGCCTCAACGTCGGATGGCCGCCAGTGCCTGCTGACGACCAGAACCCGGCCTCAGGATCGAGAAGCCAGAATGCGTTGCCATCGGTATTCGCCGTGCGACTGCTGCATCAAGGCATACTCGCCGACCGCAAGACCGCCGAGGCAATCGCGCTGAGTGGAAGTATCGAGCACCTTCTCCGCTTTGTAGTCACGCCGCCTTGGAAGTTCGAAGCCGACTGGACCCCCAATGACGGCGGAGATGATGCGACAATTCTCGTGGCATACCAGGTCTTTGATGAGGTGCTGCAGCTCTTTGCTTCGCTGGCATCCTACGGCTTCTTTGCGTCGGTCGTCGCCCGGACGTGGCAGCTCTGGCGCGAGTGCGGCTCGTGGGCCATGGAGCATCTCGTGAACGGCCAGGTCGGATCGGTGCCGGCGTGGTGCGAGGAGGCGAGAGACACGGCTGCGCAACGCATCTTTGAGGTGCTGGGCGCATGGACGCGCTGTGCCATGGACCCTCACGAGCTCATGACGGCGCATGACATCACCTGGACGCAAGTCAGGGACTGGATCGATGTCGTCCACGACGCTTCGCAGCAATTGGATCGGACGCTCGCGAATTCCCGCACTACAGCATCCAAGGCGCCGGTCTTGGGCGCACTGTGCCAGTACGTTGATCATTGGCTGCGCTGCGCGACACCGAAGGAGCCCAAGATCGTCGAACGGTGCTTTCATTCGTGCAACAAGGTCCTGCGCTTCAGCCAAATTCCGATTCAGAAGCAAGTCGTCAGTGTCCTCAGGCTGTTCGAGTCGGCGCTTTCGCAGGCGGTTGCGTTGGATGAGGCCGAACAGGCGTGCCAGGCCTTTCGCAGATACGCAGACTTGTCGATCACGTGCAAGGAAGCCAGCCGTTCCGCCGCCAAGGGAGAGACGACTCCGGAAGCCATTGCGTCAGACGCAAGCGTCAGCATGGTGCAAGAGGGCCTCACGCTGGTCTCGTGCCAACCCCTGTGGCAAGCTCTCGAGAGCACAGAGTCGCAGGCCGATGGAAGGCACACGTATAAGCAGGCCTTTTCAGAATTTGTTGCTGCGACGCTCATCTCTGACTCGAGCTCCAAGACGAGCATGTCGTCCGAACTGGCGGCCATAATTCGGCTCGACGAGGATCACGTTCAAGCTGTCTGGCAGATCGTGCAGCGGGCCGCCACGCACTATGGAGGTTCGGCCGCACTTGACGCACTACGTCCATTCCTGCTCGAGTGCATCATGGGTCGCAATTGTGTGCCCGAGCCACTGGCAGGCAAGGAACAAGGTCGCAGCCACACGCCGCTGTCTCACGTGTCGTCGCTATTCAAGGCTCGTCGATACGCCGCAGATCAAGGCTCTGCAGAAGCAGACGAAAGGAAAGAGGCGGACGATGAACAGGCTGGCGACGATGACGACGTGGACCCGATCACAGGCGGACAGCTGTGGAGCTGCCCGGCTGCGGGGCTGCCACTACGCGCCGATTGGCCGTTGCTCGCACTTGATGACCTTTTGCACAGCGGCACCACGGCCGTCTTTAACCGGCCGGACAATCTCGACGCAGACTGGAAGCCAAGCGAGCTCGAGATGGTTCGAGCCTGCCTTCAGCTCGCCGTTGCTATGCTGCAGTCGCAGCTCCGCGCCCATGCTCCGTCTGCATTCGCCACGGAAGAGCTAAGTGTGGAAGCGATGGCGAGTCTGAGCAGTCTGCCTAGCGCAGAGCAGGTGCTGCTTGGCGTGATGAAGGTGTTCCTACTCGAAAAGGATCAGCCTGATACCTTCACGGACCGCAGCGCAGCCGGGCAAAACCAGGAGAAACAAGCTGGCGCTCTGACGGGGCGGGACTTGTTCCGGGATTCCGAAGTCTCGAAAAGCCTCGGTGCGCTGCTGGATGTTGCGGATCAGCTGGTTGAGCTGCGCGCACAGTTGCGAGGCAAGGTATCGATGAGCACGGTGACGCTCGATGCGTGGACGGCACGCACGTATGGCGGCGCCATGTCGTCCTACCAAGTCTTCACCGACTTGCTCGGTCTGTGGGATTCGGTCTCGTTCGGCGATGCGAACTTTGCGCGTGTGGTCATGACGATCGCCAATGCGGGCAGTGGCATCGAGGGTGAACATGGAATCGCCGTGGATTTCCGCAGACTGGTGTGGAACGACTACAGCGATAGCCTTCGCAGCATCCCGGCGACGCCCGTGGCAGCATGGCTGCTCAGCTGGACGGAAACTGATGTGGACATGCTCGAGAACTACTGCCGCTACCTCGCCACTGTCGCCGAGATGCCAGCTGCAAGTTCGTCCATGGCATGGCAGATTGCGTCTCACCATGTCGCCGCTGCCCTGCGTACGCTTACCGACGCTCCTCAAGAGTCGGTTGAGCAGCGAAGAGCACAGGCAATCCTCAAGACGCTCATCGCAGCTAAGGGCAAGAAGATGCTCGACGAGCTGCTGGCCACCTCGACCAACCCTGAAAGCGCCAGACCGGCCGAAGAATCGCAGCGCATCTTCTCCCAACTCTTTCCGGATGCTTCTTCCAAGTAACCCCCACTTCGGTCAATGCATGGCATGGTAATATTGAAGGTACAAATACAGTAAAGGTGCGTGGGGCAATCTGTGCAAGAAGCCTAGGATGGCGCTACTGATGAGCGCGCAGATCCGGCTCGTGATGCGGCTGCTGTCTTTGGCTTGCCCTTGCCCTTGGCGCCGCCTTTGCCAGGCCCATTCGCCTTGGACTTGGCCTTGCCCGACTTGCCGGTTTTGGCATCCTTTTCGTCCAAGTCGTCGTCGTCGAGGTCCTGCATGTTCGCGTCCTGTGCAGACGCATCGCCATTCGGCGGGGCAGGAGGAAGGTTGTCTGTCTGCAGGGCGCCAGCGCGCTCGGCCGCCTCTTCGACACCGCCGACGCGCCTGGCTTCGGTGACGACCTTGTCTGCATACAAGAGCTGTTCCATACGACCGAGCTTCTTGGCCTCGACGTCTTTGCGCAGCGCATGACGGAAGTCTTCGAGCTTGACACGCAGACGGTGGGGAGCACGGGGCGGCAATGTCTGCGGCATGGCATCTCCGCCGTTGGCCACCGCGTTCGAGCCGTCGTTCGCAGTAGAGTTTTCAAGCGTGGCGCCAAAGGCACTCGAGCTATTCGAGATGGAGCTGGTGCCGAGGCCGAGCGAGTACGGGCTGGGACGAGCGCGGCAGCAGAGGTCGGTGATAAAGTCGACGGTCATCTCCTCCATGAGCATGACCGAGTCCGGGTCGGGATCTGGCGAATCTCCGTACGCGTACATGAGATTGCGCAGGTCTCGAGCGAAGAGGTTGCGATGGTTAAAGGGGCGGCGACCACGGATCTGTGCAGCTACTGCAGGTGGCAGGCCCGCGGTGGATGACGAAGAGGGGAGGACTCCGGATGACAGAGCGAGCGCCGGATGAACGAACGGGACGCCTGCAGGATCGGCAGCATTCGGCCCGCGGCCCACTTTGGCATGCTGAGCCGACATGCCATCGAGACCTGCCATACCCGCAGCACCAGAGCCGGGCTGTGGATGCAGAGATGAACCCTGCCTCTGACGTACGCTGCCGCGCTGGACTGTGCGTGTTGGCGTCGGCGGCATCGTGAAAGTATCTGACACGGCTCGGCCGGGCGAGGGTGAGCGCGCAGAGGTGGATCGATGTTTTTGCGGACGTCGACTATCGCTGCATGCTGGATGCTGGATGCTGAAGCTCGTTCCGGTGCCGTTTGGAATGGGAAAGCGAGAACAGACGAGAAGACGTGCAGAGTATGGATGGAGCTTCCAAAGCAAGATGCCGCTCCACCCTGGATGACACTTCGGAATTCGGCCTTCGATCAATGAATTGTCTCGGACGGGAAAATCCCTTCGGCGCGCACTCGCACGACCTCCGCCCAGCGCGGCCTTGGAGTCCAATCTGAGACTCAGCCGCTGCGCCTCGCTTCAGGTCCAAGCCGCGCAAGCCGAACGCCCAAAAAAAAAGTGAGAGGCGAACTGGCGCTTGGAGAGGCACCAACGCAGACCGACACTTTTGTTCAGGGTCCAAGATAACGCGCGAGCATGCAAACCCTGCATGGCACGATGCGTTCGGCTCGCCGCACCCTGCCGGTACCCGATCCTGTAGCAGCAGCTGGCTCAGCTGACGAGGCGAGGAGGCGACCAACAACGACGGGATCGAGCCGATCAGTGGCCTTGCCCAGCGCTCATTGGCGCAAGGGGTCGTCGCGGTACCGTCGGCAAGCGGCGTGGCCTGAGCGTTGGGTTGGGGTTGGATGAGGCTTTTGACAGGTGTGCTCTTGCGAGTGCAGGCGGGCTGAGCGTCGGCCTTGGTTGGGCCTTGCTCTTGCAAATTGGAGCCGGCACATGCGCATGCACTCCCCGCTAAGTCAGAGCTGGCAATAACACAATCCCATCACGCCGACGCCTGCGACTGCGCCTGTGACTGTGAATTGAGCGCGACCCCTGTCCGCGAGTGTGGCTGAGTCGAAAGCCGGGCCCACGGTCCGCCACCCTCCTCACCCACCCGCCTCGCCCTTATCTCTTGACACTCTGCTACCAACACCCGCAGCCCCTTCCCCATCATCACGCTCCTCCAGCCTTTCCATTCTACACAAACGTCAAACATCGCATCCTACTTCATCCTGCCTCGTTGCAGCCATGACCTCGCGACCGGCTACACAGTCTGGCATCGAGCTCATCTGGGTCAATGCGTCTCCTACGGGACCCACCGACGCCGACGCCTCAGACCCCTCACAGCATCGAATCACCCGCGTGCAGTCTGGGCTGAAGAAGCTCGTCAGGCGCTCCTCCGCCGAACAGGAAGAGGCTGACGCGATCGTCAACGACCTCGCCAACACGATCCGCTTCCTCGCTGCCAAGACGGTCTCTCGCGAGCATGCAGTCATAGGTTGGGCCGCTGGAGTGCCGTTCGTAGAGGACCTCGGCTCCACCCATGGCACCTTTGTCGCACGCCGCCATGCCACCTTCGATCCTCAAGGTCAGGTGCTCGAGCAAGATGCCAGTGCCGAGCTGCTCCAAGTCATCAGCATCACGAAGCTTAAACACGGCGACCTCGTTCAATTCGGCAAAACCCTCAGTCGCGGGAGTACCCACTACTATCCGGTCCGATGCTACGTGCGCTACCGCGATGCCCCCACGCCTCCCTCGTTCTCAAAGGTTTCCGCAGCAGCTCCCACCTCGGTGTCGGCTGCCAAGTCGAGCTACTCGTACGGCTTGGACGATGCCACAATCGACTCGGAAATTGTCAGCATCGATGCTGAGACGTTCCACAAAGGCGTCTCTCCCGTCACTCCTTCGCTTCCTAAGGCAAGCAACTCCCCCACGCTCAAGGACGCGGTCGATCCTCGTCACTTCGAGCAAGCAGAGGTCGAAGTCGGCAGCTCCGACTCGGAGCAATCGTGCATCAACGTCGACTCCTCCGACTCCGACTCGGACGCGGGTACCAACCATTCGCACAGTGACAGCGAGAACATCTGCAGCTGCTCCGAGTGCCACTCGACCGAGTCGTCTGGTCCCGGTGACGTATCCGGTGACGACAGCGACTTGCCTGTTCGCATCGACGAGGATGACGATGGCGTGTGTGCCAGCTCCGCATCCGAAGGAGAAGAGCAGGACAGCTCGACAATGGATTCGGACCAAGTCGATCCAGCCATTTGCGTCCTTCGCGCTCCCAGCACCAACGCGCACACCGACACGGAAGGGTCGGAATCGCCAACTCAGGAGTCTGCCTCGATCGCCCCTGCTTCGAGCAGCACCAGCAGCAATGCCGAAAGCTTGCTCGTGGCGATGGAAGGGGAAGTGAAACCCGCCACAGCGAAGGACTCGTCCAGCGAGGCCGAGGAGAAGGAGACGCCAATTCCTGACGCTATAGTCTCGGCCGACGAAAAGGAAGAGGCCCAGCTGACTCCTTCCCGCAAGCGGGCCCTGGAAAGTCCCGAAGACGATCGCGCGAGCACCGACGAGAGCACGGGCGACGAGGACGACAATGGTACCGACTCGGACAAGAGCTTCGAGGCATCGTCCCTTGCCTCTGCTCTTTCCAGCCCTTGCACCTCGATCTCTGGAACTCCGTCCCCTCCTCCTGCCAAGAAGAGGCGAATCTCGGACGCTTCGCACGAAGATCGTCGCATCCAGCCTCGACCTCGGTCGCGCGGCCGCAGCGTCCGCGTCTTTTTTGGCAAGGCACTCTACACCGCGAGCCTCCTCTCCATCGGCTTCTTCAGCGGCTCCCTCTTTACCTTCAAGAGCATGCTCAATGCTGCCGCCGCAGCCAATGCCGCGGGATCGGACCGTCAGTGACGGTCCTTCTCAAGTTCAATCACGTTTGTACATGCATCGCAAGTCAGTCTACCTCGCATCTCATCAACACATTCTCGCTTACTCTGCTTCCTGTCCCGTCAATGTTTACTCGTAGCCTCTCTGTATCCCATTGTCAGATAGCGTCGTCCGTTGTCCCGCCTGGACAATCTGCTCCTCAGCCGTGTTCCTCAGCCGTGTTCCTCAGCCGTGTTCCGAATGGCACGCATTGCACATTGACCAAGCCCGCCTGAAACGACCGTGGCGACTCGCCGAGATTTTTGGATGCACGACTCTGGGGCGATGAAACGTAGTACTCATTCCGGTCGCGGCTGTTCTGGAGGCGATCATCTCAGTCTGGCTGGGCTTCGGGCAGCGCGTGCTCAATCGCGCTTTGATCAACGACGATGAGATGTCTACATTCTAGACGCCACCTGTAGCGACACCGTCTCAGCACTAGATCCATCCCGGTAATTGAGCTCGTCCCTCGTGTGCAGTGCGCACGAGACGCTCTCCCAAGCAGCTGAAACGCCTTCGTATCAACGGCGATGACAGCCTCGGGATGACGCATGCGGTAGTGCGTCTGACGGACGAGGCTTCAAAGTCGAAGATATGTAAACGGTCATGATGATGGTGGACCGACATTCGGTATGAGCTTTCACAAACGAGAAGATTTTGCAGAGGACCCTCCTAAGTATCCCACTTCCTTTCGTCTCCTTCATACCTTTTCCCTCCACGAGACGCTCTACCACTGAGCTATGACCCCTCTGATGGTGATGATAACGAAGGGCAACGGTGTCGACGGCAACGACGGAGAAATTCTCCTCGACGTCCTCATTACCGTCGTCTTAGTCCGACTCCGATCGGCCCAGGGGCTGTTCATGGAGAGACGTCCAAAGGCAAGTGTTTGGTTCTACCCTTGCGAGGGGCAACTTTTGATCTCGTCCAGGAGGCCGAGGAAGCCATCTACGACGACGCCGGCGACGCCGGCGACGCCTGCAGGTGCGCACTTACTTGTACGATTCCTCCATGCGGTTGAACAGACTGAATCGACCATCTCGCCACTCGCCTTGACACCGAGGACGACAGAGGTAATCCTCTACCAGCCGTCCCACGCCGTCCCCTCCTTCCTTCCTCGAAGCTATTCCCTTACCAGACAACCAACCGCAACTTCGACGCGTCAAAGTCTCTCGTCCGACCACTCTCCAGTCTTGCTGTCGGTCGAAACCGACACCAGTGACTCTGCTACCGAGGAAGTAGGCTTCACTTGCTGGCGGCTTCCTTAGCCAATGGCCCGGTACAATCCTTTCCAACAACAGGCTCACGAGTTCATCGACCACTCCAGCCACCAGGTCCTCGAACCAGATCGCCGCGTCCGCGCCACCACCACCTTCATGTAATGGATCGAGCGCTGCAGAGCCTTCGCCAAAAACGCAGGCTACCGCCGCCGACTCCAGTGCCTTCGCACGCACCAAGAGCTTCGCCATATCCGTCAATCGATTGGCTCTAAGGGCTTCGCGGACACTTCTTCCATTCCTCAACTCCTTGCGCTACGTCAACGGGTCACCGACCTGGAGGCATCCCTTCACGTCGCAGCCAACCCATTCTTCCGGTCAAGCTCAATCCCCGCGCTCACCGCATTCCCTCCGACCTCTCTTCCTCCATCATCTTCACCTTCTTTTTCAACCTCTCCGGCGCCGAAGCTCCACCGGCCGACGTCAAAACGAGCCGCGGCCCTCTGCTGCGATCCTCCTCAACTTCTCTCGCCGCGGCCACCAAAACTCTTCTCGACCAAACCTTCGCCCCTGCAGAGTTCGAGAGCGTCCTCCAGAAGGCAACAAAGTCGCGCTATGCGGCGGGTCCCAACGGACTACCGCACGCCTTCTGGGTCAGCAACATCCCTATATCAGCCAAGATCCTCTGTCAAGTCGCAAACGCCATCCGTTCTGGCCGTACCCTTCCTCCCTATGTGCCAATAGCCGTCGGCACACTTCTTTTCAAGCGCAAAGTCCTCGATTCAGACCCAGCCAGCTCCCTCCCTCTCACCGTCATCGACTCTGAGCTACGCATCATCGACACCGTTGTGCAGCGCCGTCTCACATCAGCTGTGGACCAGCCCACTCCTCCATCCCAAACCGGCTTCATCCCTCAGCGCTCCATCTTCCACTCTGCGCTTGCAGATCAACTCGTCGTCTTACTCGTCAAATGCGAGACACATTCGGATCGATACAGACTGCCACGGCGCTTTCCTGTCGGTGTACTGCTTGAGAAGAGGTGCTAGTGATGGACAAAGTGGCTCGCGGAAGGTACAGGCAGAAGCGGGTCGCAGTGTTGGACAACGCCCTCATAGCTTGTAGCGGTTTATATATGACTTACTCGCTGCCACAGACATGAAGCGGAACAAGACCCGATTCTTTGGGGATATAGCTCAGTGGTAGAGCGTCTCGTTTGCAACAGCAAACTTCGAGAAGGTCTGGGGTTCAATCCCCCATGTCTCCATTTCTTTTTCGATTTTTTTTCTCAGGCTCAATCAAGGGGATCTTTTTCGTACCTTTTTTTGCGCTTTT